GGGGGGGGTGATTTCTCGCTTTCTGTCTGTCTCTCTCTTGTCTTTCTGGCGAGCACATGCGCCCAATAGCAAAAACCTCTCCAAAAAGAAATCCTCCACACAGGACCCAACATTATATCAGGATATAGATACATACTTTTTAATTTTTAAATAATTATTATTTTTTAAATAATTATTTTATTTAACTTTATTTATTTATTTTTAATTTGACCAGAGATGGACGGGGGGCGGGGAGTGTGTGTGGGGGGAGGACGAGAAAGCAAGCTGCCATGTCTGGGACTTGAACCATGGTCGGCCATGTGGAAGTCCAGTGCCCTTAACCACCAGGTCACCTGCTGGCCCAAATACTTTTTTTTTAATAAAAATTTCTCTTTTTCTTCTTTTTTTTAAAAAACATTATTTATTTATTTGTTTTGACCAGAGAGTGACAGAGCCAGAGAGAGAGAGAAAGTAAGAAAACAAGCCACCAGGTCCAGGACTCAAACTGCTGTTGGCTGTGTGGGAGTCCAGCACCTTTAACCACCTTGCCACCTGCCGTCCCCTGGATTAATACTTTTTAAAAATACTTTTTTTTAAAAAAAAAATTATGTTTATATGTTGTGATTTTCAAGCCACCATGTCCAGGACTCAAACCACAGTTTGGCTATGTGTGAATCCAGTGCCTTAACCACCCCACCACCTCCTGACCTCCCCCCATTTTTTTTAGTTTATGCTATAGGGTTTATGCACTTGCAAGAGAGAAAGAGAGAGATGGAAAATGAGAGATCACCCCCGGCAAACAGGAATGGCCACACTGAAATCCCTTCTCCTCCATTCTCTTCTTGGGATTTTGGGCAGTTACGCCCATGTGCCTGGTATGATTTTCCATCCACCAGGTCTGGGACTTAAACTGCACAGCTGGCCATGTGGGATCCAGCACCTTAACCTCCACACCACCTGCTGGCTAAGAATAACATTTTTTTTATAATTATTTTACTTAACTTTATTTTAATTTGACCAGAGAGGGCCAGAGAGAGAAAAAGAGCAAGAGAGAGAGAAAGCAAGCCACCAGGTCCAAAACTTGAACCTCAGTTGTCCACTTAGGAGTCTGGCGCCTTTAACCACCAGGCCACCTGCCAGTCCCATATTCTTTTGAAGAATTATTTATTTAATTTTATTTCTTCATTTATTTTAATTTGACCAGAGAGAGGCACATTCAGAGAAAGAAGGAAAGTGAGAAAGCAAGCCACAGGTCCAGGACTTGAACCATGGTCGCCCATGTGGGAGTGTCCAGTGCCTTAACCACTACACCACCTTCTGGTCCTTAACAGTTTTGTTTTGTTTTGCTTTAGTTTTTTGCTCTCCAGAGAGAGGAAAAGTGAGAAATCACCCCCTGGGAGCATGACTACATCACAATCCCTTCTCCATTCACTTCCTGGGATTTTGGGTATACATACACACACACCTGGTATGATTTTGAAGCCACTTGTTCAAGACTCAAACCATGGTCAGCCATGTGGAGTCCAGCACCTTAACTACCACATCACCTGCTGGCCCCAGATTAACACTTTTGACAGTTAAATTCATACAGCAAGGGGACGCTTTTTCCCAGGACCTTGGGCTTTGTGGGGCAAACCCAGCCATTTCTTGCCAGTTTTGGAACTGAAGCCCCTGAAATGACATTGGAGAAAAGCAGTTGTGATCAGTCCGTGATCCTGTGGAGGAAGGCACAGTCCTTAAAAGGGTATACATAATTATAGAGCCCAGAGAGCCAGTATTCAAGTTCTGAGTAAAAACCCTATGCAGGAGAAAGGGGGACATGGAGGGCAGAAGTTTGAACTATAATTAGTGCTAAGAGTAACATAGCTGGGAGAGGGAGGGGAGTACAGCCGGCAACTATTTTGAGCACAGCTCCGATTGACGGGACACGTGTGCTGGACTGTACTGATCCCAGGGCCAAGTTGCCTGCCTGTGGTGTGTGGTGTGTGGTGTGGGGGGGAGGCCTGGGGCAGCAGGAGCAGGACAGCCGGACAAGCAGGCCGGACGGGGTACCAGCACCTTGACTTCTCTCCCTGGGACATTGTCCAAACTCCGGAGGCCATAAGCCAAGCTGAGTGATGGGTGCTGAGGAAGAGGTGCTGGTCACACTATCAGGGGGAGCCCCCTGGGGCTTCCGACTTCAAGGGGGGGCCGAGCAGAGGAAACCCTTACAGGTGTCCAAGGTAAGGGAGAGCCCCTGAACTGAAGTTTCAGGGAAGGGGAAATCCAAGGGAAACTGGGAAGAGTCATGTGATGGTCTAAGGGAGGAGGGAGGCTGTGGAGAAAAGGGGAGTGGGGAAGTGGACAAGGACTCACACTCAAGTCCGGTGGAGGGGTAGTATCTGACCACAGGATTCTCGTAGAGGCTATTAGGGAATTCCTGGTTTCCAGGGGCCAGGGAAGAGAGAAACAGAAGGCACTGCTTAAGTTTCCTGCAGCATCACGGTAAAGGCCCAGGTCTGGTCATCCAGTCTTTGCTCTCCTAAAGTGGGCCTCTACTCCAAACTCCAGGAATGCAGGGGTTTGCATCCTCTCACTAAAGTGATATGTGATGAGCTGAGACTCTCATCCAACCCTGCCCTGCCCTGCCCTGCCCTGCCCTGCCCTGCCCTGCCTTGCCTTGCCTTCAGTGTTCCTCTTTGCCTAACTCAGATCCTTTCTCTCATTATACAAGACTGTTTTTAAGTTCTAAGAAGGTTATTGCAAGATCTGGCCTGTCAGATGAAGTCATTATCCTTTGGGTTTCCCCTGCAAACTTAGTTTTCTGAACTGTAAAATGTGGCTGATAATAGTACCTCCTTCATGGAACCATTCTAAGGATGAAATGAGATAATACATGCAGCACAGAATCTAACACTCGGTAAGAATTCAATAAATGGTAGCCACCTGCTATTATTACCTTAACATCTGTATGTGTGTATACATGATGTACAAATATGCCATCAAAATCTCTCAGAACCCAGCTGGACTCCCTCTATCTGGAAAACTGTTCCGAAATCTTAACTGTGTAATGGCACCTGGGATTCGAATGTCTAGAAGATTAACTACTGGCCAGTATGGATATTGCCCTTGGAGGAAAATCTTGGATGATCTAACTATCATTTCTAATAGCTCATTATGCAGTTTTCCCCAAGCCTCTATGGTTCAGTATTTATCCTACCTCACATTGTACAAGGAATTACTGCCTCCAATCTGCATGCTCTTCTCTCTAGAAGGGCTCCCTCAACCGTGGCCACATGCACCCCACACTCTTCTTACTCGGCAAAGTAAAATCCTCTCATATAAATCTTTCCTGTCCTTTCCTTTCAATTCACTCCCTTTGGAGCCCTCCCTCACTTACAATCTCTCCCCAACATCTCAGATTCGAAGACGGAGCCAGGCTGGCAGAGCAGGACTCCGAGAGAGGGACCAGCTCTTGGCAATCAATGGGGTCTCTTGCACCAGCTTTTCTCACGCCAGTGCCATGAGCCTCATTGATGCCTCAGGGAATCAGCTTGTCCTCAGCGTACGGAGGTATGGACTCCTCTCCTCTTCTCCTAGTCCAGGGCTCTCATTGCCTGCATCAGCTCTGTGTCTTACTGGCCTAGCTTCAGCAACTAACAAGTAATTATTTCTGCCGTGTACTTGTAATGGAGTGTAGATGCTTGTGTATGCCTCCTGAATGACTTGAATGTATCTGCAAATAAAGGATGGAGGTGTCAGATGAGTATTTGAGTGCTGGGCCTACTTCAACCCCTGGCCTGTCTACTCCTCACATCTTTCTCTAAGCCCATTTCCACTTACAACCCTCTAAGCACATTTGTGTCCCAGTTTGTCTTCAGATGTTCATTCTTCCTAGTCTGCCCATTCCAACTGCATGCCAGCCCCGTCTCTCTGTGTTACCTCCTCCCTCCACCCCCTCTAGATCTCTCTAGCTGTCAGTCACTTAGCCTATCTCTCCATTTCTGTCTTCTTTCCTGTCCAGGGTAGCAGATGAGGGGCCTGTACGATCTCCATCCCCTGGTGAGCTTCAGGTACTATCACCTTTATCTCCGCTGAGTCCTGAGCCTCCTGGTGCTCCAGTTTCCCAGCCTCTCCAGCCTGGAAGTCTTCGCTCACCTCCTGACAGTGAAGCTTACTATGGAGAGACAGACAGTGATGCTGATGGCCCTGCCACCCACGAGAAGCCCCGCCGAACCCGCCGCCGAGGCCCCACAAGGCCAACTCCTCCAGGAGCCCCACCGGATGAGGTCTACCTGTCTGACAGCCCTGCAGAGCCAGCACCTGCCATCCATAGCCCTCCCAGCCAGGGTGACAGCCGTGTGAGCTCCCCATCTTGGGAGGACAGGACAGCTCTTCAGCCACCCCCAGCTGAGGCCCTGTTGCTACCCCACGGCCCCCTCCGTCCTGGTCCACATCTCATTCCTATGGTGGGACCTGTTCCCCATCCTGTGGCAGAAGATCTTACTACCACCTACACACAGAAGGCCAAGCAAGCCAGTGAGTTCCTGAAACCCCTTTCCCCAGCCAGGATCCTTCAATCTGAGCCCTAAATCTACCCCTTTATAACCATACATTCCACCTACCTTATGCCTCTTGGATACAGTCTTGGGGACAAAGTAGAGAAGAGTGATGAATAGAAGGGGAGAATAATTATTTTTGCTGTTTGAACCAGTGTGCAAAATGGTACAGGTGGTTCAGTCCAATGCAGGAACAGAAGTAGGGAAGGAAAGGCTGCTTTCCACACGAATACACTATAGGGTTTGCCGGTGGTTGTTGGTGTTATTTTGCTAGGTGTCAGGCTAGGTTAGAGTACAGACACCACACAGGGGAATAACTGGAAGTGGTGCAAGGCTAGAGGGGGTCTTTAGTGTTCATTGCAGGCATAGTCTCAATTGAATTTTAAGTTCAGTAAGAATTCCTGGGGGGAATGGGAGGTTTTGGAATGGTCATGAAATTTCTAGGAAGTGGCAGAGGGAAGGATCTTTGGCTCTTTATCTCAGGCAAGAATGTAGGCCTGGACAGAAAAAGCCAGTTCCACTTATCTCAAGCTCTTTGCTATTTTTGATGTGAGCTACAGAACAAAGTCTAAGCGTGAACTTTCTCCCTGCACTGTGCCTCCTGTGCCTCTTCCACAAAGACCTTTCTTGTCCCTCTGAAATCTCAGGATTCCTTCTCTAGTTCTCATCTCCCCCCCCCCCTCCTACCCCCACCATTTTGATTCCTAATCTATAGAATTTTGTGTCTCTGAGTCTGGAAAAGAGGCTAAAGACATGACAGTTCAGTATCTGACATCTCCGAGAAAGTTCAGCATCCCACAAAGAAATTCCAGATGCATCCCAGGATCCCATGATAACCCCCAATTCTCATTTTGGAACCCTCTCCCTTCCCATTATGCTGGGTGAGACTGTAGTGGCTCAGTGATATTTTTAGCCAAGCAGACCTCATTGTCCAATGGGGTGAGGAGGGGGGAAGGGGAGACAGGTGCCCACGTCTATCACACTGGGGCTTGTGGAGCAGCCAAGAGAAGGGAAGGGGGCTGGGCTCCAAAAATAGAACAGTGAGCTCATGCCACTGCCAGCTCAGGGACAAGACAAAGGGGCTTTAAAAGGTGTGGGGGGTGGCTCAAGCTGGTCCTGCTCCAGCCAACACTGCCTTTCTCGGCATGGAGAACTTTGAGCCCATCAGCCAAGAGCCCTTCAGCCAAACCAACTGCGACAAAGCCCCAGACCCAGTTCCTGAACTCCAAGACCCATTCTATGCAGGTACTACTGTCCTATATCCTAGAAAGTTCTGGAATCTTAAGTGGAGGGGAATACGTCAACAGTTTAGGAAGGGGAGTTTTTGGAAAAGGTCTTACGCTCTAGACCCCTCTTTCTTTTTGCTGTCCTCTTCCTCTTTTTCTCAGGAGAGTTTCATTGCCTCTTTTGCAGGATGGATTTATGCTATGGCCACATGTCAAAATGGTTTGTGAACTCATGAGCTGTTGAAAACTCATGGGAACAGTTATGTCTGTGGGAGAGAGGTGTGAGTATATTATGAAAACATGAAGGCATGCATGTGTGAGATTGTGGGAGAAGGTGTGTGTGAACAGGAAAATGCCTTAATAAGTATTCAGCTAGTGTCAAGAAAGCTTTAATAGCATTGGTTAGTCATAGTGGGCCTTAACAATGTGTTAAGTGCTAAATTTACCAATATTATCTCACAAAATCTTCATAGCAACCCTATGAAGTAGCCATTATAATCCTCATTTACAGATGAGGAAACTGAACTTCAATAAGTTGAAGTAACTCTCCCAGTTACCAAAAACCTCAGCTGAACTCTGACTCCAGTACCTGTTCTGTCATCCACTGTACTATTCTTTGGTATAAACGTTGGGCAAGAGGAATGAGAGCCTTAATTAGAAAGGAGCTTGGTATCTTGAGTGGAAAGTAGGTGGAATTTCAGGAATTTTTTTCAGGAGGAACTGGAGACCATGGACAGAGTGTATCATGTTCTAGGTGGGATCCTAGCAGTGAGGCAGCCTCTTTCATTTCCTGGCCCCACCTCCCTGGGCCCCATATAGACCTGCTCTGGTTCCCATAGTCTTTGTGTGCCTGCCTGGTAGTCCTTGCCTGAGCTCTCTACCTGGAAGGCTTGGAAAATAGGAGGCAGCCCTGCCTACTCCACTCCTATCCCCAGCTTGGGGAAAAGGAGAATGTATTTAGCTGGTGACCTGGAGTTATCCTAAAGACTTGGAGGGTTGTCTTGAAGAGCAGCACTCCAACTTTTCCTACATCTTGGATCCAAGACTATCCCAGCTGTAAGTAGTACGGGTATGAAGCACAGAGTGGTCTGGGGAAGGCCAAATCAATTCTCAAATTTTGTCCAACTGTTAGTAACAGGGGGGAACCCTTGGAAGATGGACCACCTGGAACATGTAGGTTATGAATATATTTGAGTAACTATGTTTTTGTATTGGCAGATGTGTCTTTATATATGTGTATATGAACTGAGATGTATGTAAGCTGGGGCATATGTGAATGAAAGAGAAGAATACATAGGAGAAAATATGCCCACATCTGGCTTTCAGTAGACCAATGTTTTTGTTTTGTTTAGAGAGATTTTTGCTATAGAGCATGTGTGTTTGCCGGAAAGTCAGAGAGACACAGAGAGACAGAAAGCGAGAAATCACTCCCCAGGAGGATGGCCACACCACAGTCCCTTCTTCTCCATTCTCCTCTCAGGACTTTGGGCACACATGTACATGTGCCCAGTGTGAGTTTTAAGTTACCAGGTCCAGGATTTGAACTGCAGTTGACTATATGGGAGTCCAGCAACATAACCATTATGCCACCATCTGGTCCCCCAATTTTTTTAATAGACCATTTTTAAAAAAATAATAATTTTATTTAAATTTGACCAGAGAGAGAGAAAAAACAAGCCTCCAGGTCTGGGACTTGAACTGCAGTCGGCCATGTGGGGGTCCAGCACTTTAACCACCACACGACCCGCTGGCCCCTAGCCCAATTTTTTTAAAAATAATTTTTTTCTTTATTTATGACAGAGCATATACATGAGAGTGATTGAGTGATTAAGTGAGTGAGAGGGAGAGAGATGAGTACCCTCCATAGGAACTGGTCATACTGCAGTCATCTTCTCTAGTCCTCTAGCTCATCAGATTTGGGGCATTCATGAGTATGCTTTGTATATTTTAGGCTGACTGGGCTGGGGATTCGAACTGTGGTCACGTGTGGGATCTGGCTTCTCTTTGGGCAGTACATTAACTGCTGTGCCACAGAGCTGGCCCTTGACTGATACTCTTGTTGAAATGGTGTGATGGTTATTGCTATAAAAGTTTATAATGTAACTGCATGAAGGAGTTGAACTGTGAATGAAGCTCCTCATTGTTAAGGGTTCTTTGCATCCTTGTTATTATAGAGGGAAGGAATAAGAAGGGATAACTTTGTGAGAACCCTCCTAACATGATTTCCATGGTGGGAGAAGTGTTCCTTTTCATCTTTTTTCTCCCCAAGACTGGCTTCACTCCTTGACTGCCAGGGAGAATGACACCTCCCTTCACCCTCATAGGAATGGGAGGCGGGTGAGGAATGTGTGTGGGTGGATAAGTGCACATTTCTGTGAAGACAGGAGCAGAATAGCAGAAGGAAAGGACAGAAGAGCTATGGTCAGGGCAGTGTCAGGGCGGACAACTGAACTCTGCCTTCCCAACAACTGTCCTTGGTTTCACCTTTTACCTCCACTCTGCCCAAGTTAGAGGACTTTGCCACAGGCAGGAGACATGGTGGGTTGGGTCTGTGAAAGGAGAGGAGGTGGGAGGCCTGAAAGAGCAGGCTGAAGGGCAGGGGGGGTGAAAGCCTTGGGGAACAACTAGGAGAAGCTGAGGGGAAGCTCCACTGACCATTCTCTCTTGGTCTCCTCAGAACTACAACGTGCAGAGAGTCTCCAAGAGAAGAGTGTGAAGGAGGCCAAGACCAAATGCAGGACGATTGCATCTCTACTAACTGCAGCCCCCAACCCCCACTCCAAGGGCGTGCTGATGTTTAAGAAACGGCGGCAGAGAGCCAAGAAGTATACCCTAGTGAGCTTTGGAGCTGCGGCTGGGACAGGTGCGGAAGAGGAGGACGGCGTCCCCCCAACCAGCGAGTCCGAGCTGGACGAAGAGGCCTTCTCTGACGCCCGCAGTCTCACCAATCAGTCGGACTGGGACAGCCCCTATCTGGACATGGAGCTGGCCAGGGTGGGCTCAGGAGCAGCAGAGGGCCACGGGCCCAGGCTGGGAGGGCAGCTGAGCGAGGTCTCTGGGCGAGGGGTCCAGCTCTTTGAACAGCAGCGCCAGCGCGCAGCCTCCAGCACCCAGGAGCAGGCTCCAGTTGGCCCAGCAGCCACGCTCAATGGGCAGGGCCTGCAGTCCCCCCCTCGGGC